CTGTCCATAGTGCTGGGAAGGCTTCATCTGCCAGTGCATTTAATCCGGAATCTTATTCTTTCTGAAATGCCAGTGTGGTAAATTACTCACCCATTCATAGAAAAAACCGACTTTCCAGAGAGGTTACTAAGATTGCTTTTAAGTATACCCAGGTTGGTCATTTGTATTCTTTTTTTGCCTCTTCCCTTTAGAAATTCACTTGAGAAAAAGGACAAAGCAGATCAAAGTACTCAGTGGTCGGAGATGCACAAAAAGAAGTGTCAGGCGATATCTAAATCTGTGACCTTGCGTGCAAAAGCCATGGATCCCCATAAAAGCCTGGAGGAGGTGTTCAAAGCAAAGCTGAAAGAGAATCGGTCGGTGTCCTCCGTGTGTCTAAGGAATAACTATCTTGGGAGCCATTTGCCTTGAAAATGGCAAAATGGGGTTATTACAGTAGGCTCCTGTAAGCATAGTCAAGGATTTTGCCAGGCACAGTTAGGAATTTACCATGTCTGTGGGAGTTATTCCACTTAACTGAAATTAAAGGTATTCCGGATTGGAAAAACCTGGAATTCATTCTAAAAATCTTGTTAATTCCAGGAACAATGACCGTAAAAGAGCAAAAGAGTATAAGAAAGAATTGGAGGAAATGAAAAAGAGAATACAAATAAGGCCCTATCTCTTCGAACAAGTTACCAAGGTAAATCTAAACCGTCATTCACTTTCTTTCTGTCTTAGATGAAAGGGCTTTTAGAAATTACGAAACAGCTTAATATCTGGGTATTAAACACTTCCTTTAGGCTCAGATTCTAAATTTGGCTCATTTTATTACTACCATCTTTCCCCAAAGTAAGTAGTGCACTGGTGAACATTGGACTGATTTCATCCAAGACTGGATTCCAAAGGCATCTATAAAGGGATATTTCACTTCCTGGGGTTTTCTCTATAGTCTAGCCTTCAGCTTGAATCAGAGTGGGGGTTAGATCCCAGGCATACAATTGACAGTTTGGCTGTGTTGGAGTATCTTTAACTTGCTACTGTCATGTCTCCTTCTGTAGTGCTGGTGCCCTGGGCACCCCCAGCCTCTACAGCTGTGGCACATTTATAGATCTTCAGGGGTTGAGATGCTCACAAGCACCCCACAAGGCCTCTTCCAGATTAAGTGGCTTTCTGGCTGGAAGAGTCACTTTAAGATGTTCTCTAGACTCCTAGGGAAGTTGGACACAGTTGAGATCTCCCTAAGGAAGCTCTGGGGCTACTTGAACAGTAAAGGCCACCATCCCAGATAGCTTTGAACTGCATCAAGCTCTGTAGATCTCTCTCAACTCCTGAGTTTCAAACAAAGTTGGCATTCCCTAGTGACCTGGTTCCAAATGTTGGGCATTATCTGTCCTATAGCCAGTGCATTATTTAGGCATTTCCTGGGTCCAGTCCTTCCCAATCCCCTACATATTACACACACACTGGACTGTCTTGGATTTACTTAGAAACTTGCATTGCTAAGTAAAAATTTCTCATAATGACGTTTGCTCTTCATGTTAGCTTTTTCCTAGCAAGCTCACTCTCAGATCTCAAAAGATCTTTCACCACTCTAGGAAAAATGCAAGTACTCTATATGACTTTGCTCTTGAACACTTAAACAAACAAACAATAACCTTTTTTCTGGTCTACATGCATACCATCCAACCTGTTAAGAATGTTACAAGTGCAGCTTATTTTCAATTTGTTATATTTCAGTGTTCCTGATGATGGTTTGGTTGCTTTTAAATGTTAAAAATGTTTTTAGTCCATCTTTTTCATCTGGGTCTCACTTGGTCTTCCAAAAATCTAAATCCTTGCCTCACAAAGGTGTGGTTCCCAAAACAACAGTTGGCATCTCCTGAATATTAGAAATACAGAATTGCAGGCCCCATCTGAGAACTACCTAATAAGAATCTACATTTTAACCCGATCTTCAGGTAGGTTCCTATGTACTTTAAAGCTTGAAAATAAGGCTCTAAGTAATTTTCATACAAATCTGTGTCCAGCACTACTGGGGGGGGTGGAAAAGCAGTATTGTAAGCATACAGATTAAGCAAACAATTCAGAATTATCTGGTAATTCAGCTACAGCAAATTAACTTCCATTCCACAGGACCGTGCCAGGAAGGAAGCAGAACAACGGTATCGAGACACCCTGAAGCATGCTGGGCTGGATGAAGACTTTGTGAGGAACAAAGGTCAGGGCAACCGGGCTTTACAGTGGAAGGAGCAATCAGAAGTCCGTGATTGTCCCAGGTAATCGGAGATACTGCTGTCATCCTGCAGCTCTCAAGTCGCATCTCTAGTAATGCCACTCGGAGGAAGCTTTAGAACAGTCACTCATATTTTGAGATCACAATCCTGTATTTATAGAATACTAATCTAGAGATCTCCAAGTAACACATTTAAATTTGGTGAGTAGTGCAGTTGTGAATAAAATATAGCTATTGTGTATTAGGTCTAGATTCCTTCAATTTGAAACAGATCATTTTTCCAATCCCAGTCCAATGCCATCAGTCGAAAGTACTTCTACTTCAATTCTGAAGAAAAATCATGTATATTTTTACTTCCTATAAAATGATAAACTACACTCTTCATTTATTTTACTTATTGGATAAGTGAAAGTAAAAACCATTATAGGGCCACAATAAAAGCTGTAAATATCCTGTACAATCAAAGCCTTTCTTTTCCCCTCAGCTTGGTCACCATGGCTTGTTCAAATCTAGCTTTTTTTAAAATAATAAATTTATTTATTTATTTATGGCTGAGTCAGGTCTTCTTCGTTGCTGCACGCGGGCTTTCTCTAGTTGCGCTAAGCGGGGTCTGCTCTTCATTGCTGTGCACAGGCTTCTGACTGCAGTGGCTTCTCTTGTGGTGGAGCACAGGCTCTAGGTACGTGGGCTTTAGTAGCTGTGGCTGTGGACTGTAGAGCACAGGCTTAGTTGCTCTGTGGCATGTGGGATCTTCCCAGACCAGGGCTCGAACCTGTGTCCCCTGCATTGGCAGGCAGATTCTGCACCACTGCACCACCAGGGAAGTCCCAAATCTAGCATTTTTTAAAAGCAACTCACTAGCACCACCTCCTCCATTGATATCATATAAGTCAAAGGGAGAAAAGCACAGTATTTCTATTACTCTAAATTTTGTTTCAAGTCCTAGTAGCCCTTCCCCTAATTCCTATCTCAGTTTTCCCCCTAGAAATTTGCCTTTATACCCCATACAAAATAATGATAATGTTGAAACCATGCTTAAGCCTTACATGATGCTTCCTTTGATTTAAAATTTAAAATTTTATAATTCTTTAATTTATTCTGCAGCACTCATGAAACTACAAAACTCGGCATCAGGAATCCACAGCAGGATTTAGAAGAATCTCTAGAACAGCCTACAAGCCCCAAGAAAGAACTAGAGGAGCTGTCTTATGAATTACCAGATAATCTCAAATCATTTGGTTAATCAGTATACTTAAAACTACTGCTTTCGAATAATATCAAGCAGCTACCTTGGGGTTGAGTCAAGGCAGGCAAAACTTGGGTTTTGAGTCATGGTTACTTTTGGAGAATGGGGGAAAGAAAAGTAAATAACAGAGAATGGGCCAAGTAAATCAAAGTGGAGAAGTTCAGGGTAGAGGGATCAGAGCTAATTAAGGGTTCTTGCTTTGTGCCTCACACTTAAGCATACAGGTACAGAAAAAAGGGCATAAGCCCAAATGCCTACAGAGGCTAGTCAGGAAACACATGGGTCAAATGGGCTGGCTGTCAGATTAGTAGGAGATAGTAGAGACTAGAGAATATCAACCCTGATGGAATACAGGCCCAGAATTGCCAGATAAACCACATTTTCAACAGAAACCAGAAATGTGCATGTCGGCAACTAATTTAAAACTTACTGGGAATTCCCTGGCCGTCCAGTGGTTAGGACTCCACGCTTTCACTGCCAAGGGCGTGGGGTTCAATCCCTGATGGGGGAACTAAGATCCCACAAGCTGCGCAGCCCAGCCAAAAAAAAAAAAATTATTTGGAAATAATATGTGGGAAAAACAAAACATGTTTGTATATCAGATTAGCCCATGGGGGATGACAAATTTGCAACCCCAAATACGGGGTTTCTTAGCCTCAGCACTACTGATATTTTGGGCCAGATGAGTCTATGCTGGGTGAGGGAGCTATACATTGTAGGATGGTTAGCAGTACCCCTGACCTCTATTTACTAGATGCCAATAGCACCCCTCTCCTCAGTTATGACAACCAAAAATGTCTCCAGATATTACGAAAAGTCCCCTGGGTGGCAAAATGTCCTTGGTTGAAAACCACTGTTCTAGTATAAAAGTAAGGCTACTGGAAGCCAAAACTGGCATTTTAAGAATACAAGTAATTGATATGAACTCAGTCTATCTATCTAGCACAGGATAATTATACATGTCATTAACAAATTAAGAACTATAATTACTTTATTTAAAACAGCAGTTAATTCTTTGCTGTTATCTGCTTAGAATGTGTCACTGTGTGCATGTGTGTACTATGTTAGCATGAGGTTCATTTTAATAAATTTGAAACTTCTGACAGCCATGATTTTCTAGTAGGTGATCTCTGGATACTTTTCTTCTCACCAATAATAATGAAATATTCTCTCTCAGTAACTCTGAAGACAGGATGATGGTAGCAAGAGTGCCTACTCTGACAGAAGAACCTTTCTCATGTTTTTAAAAGTATCTTTCTGGAAATATTCAAAAATATCTGCTATTATTGCCATTTTTCCAGACTCAAACATGGTCCTTTTGGTGATGACAAGAATGATACTCTGATAACTACCACGTGGGTTTGCTAGTTGGAGATGAAGATGCTCATGTCATCTTCCCGAAGACTTCTGAGCTCGGTTTTACCTGCATGGACTCCTGAGGGTAAATCAGTGCCCTATCTTAAAGGGAAAGACTGAATTATTTTCTTAATCTCCTCTCAAAAGGAAACAAATTTTGTTTAAAACAAGGAGCCAAAGAACTGACTGGCTGTTTTGTTTATTTAAAGGAAAAACAATTGAAGCTCTGAATCAGGTGATTTTTAACTTAAAAAAACAAAAAGCAAAAAACAAACAACCTCTTAACATGCTACTGTATGTTCCATAAACAAAGAAAGCAAAGTGGCCAAGTAGAGGTGTATAGGACAAGATAGTACCTCAGCCTGGGACAAGCAGGGATTCAAGTAATTTATTTTTTTGAAGACCAGTGGCAGAGAGTCTCTTACTCAGGTTGCTAAAGGGAGAATGTCACAACAGAACTGACATCACTCCCTTCTCGAAAGCAACAAGGCATCTTGAAAGCTTAACTTCTTGGTGAAGTTTTATGGTTGGTGGCAGGATTTAGTTCACCCATGTGAAAAGACAGCTCAGTATGGGATGAAAACTCTTCAAAGGAAAACCTCCCCTCAACAGTCTTACTGAGAAACTTCAGCCAACAAATAATCAAATTCACTTTTGGGAGAAGTCTATCCCAAAATTGTGCAGTGGGAAGAGAGGTAGGTACAGTTACCCAGCCCACATTCACTGCTTTCTTTCTTGTCTGAATCACATAGTAGTTGAAGAGAAGCTCTCCTACAGTCATCTTCTAGGCCAGGAAAGATGAACAGAGGCAAAAGTGGGGTCCTGTCCTTCACAGATTCATTTTGGTTCTGGCAGACTGTGAGCCATAAGCATCCTGTTCCCACTACATGCACTCTGGGATCAGGTAGAGCTGATCTTCCAGGAGTCAGCACCCATGCTCATGTCCGTCCTTCAGTTAAATCTCCTTGGTTTAGTAACTGTAAGAGATTAAAAACAAATCTGGAATAGTTACCAGTGAATAACAGGAAAAATAATTCATACTAAGTGAAAGGTTTACAATTGGGGGTGGGGAATGCATTGCAGGGGTGAGTCAGGGACAGCTAGTTCCAAATCAGAAGATATGCACAGACTGATAGATCTCATTTATATACTGGCCTTGGGACAGCACTTTGACCATTCCTACTATAGCAGTAAAATATCCTGATAATAATTATAATATCCTATAAGCCAAACTATTATTTGTGTAATCACATACTCACTAGTCAGTGATGGAGGAATCTATAACCACAGGGAAATCAGAACTGGTGGAACCAAAAATCTTACATCAGTCAGTTAGCCAAAGTACAGGCTGAAGGCTCAAGAAGAAGTAAAAGGAATGGAGTTCTACGTGAGAGCTACAACTCACTCATGAAAAATCCAGGGATTTCCTGGGCTTAAAATACCTTTCCTGTGATGAGGGAAGACAAGCCTGAGAGTCTCCAACAGGGTGGCAGCTACCGTGGACATTCTACTCTACATTCAAGGTTCCTGTTGAAAGGTGTTTTTGTATAATAATTGATGAAATTGGGTTCCATTTTATTATGAAAAGAAAATGAGATGGGAATAATACAGTGAAAACAAAATAAACATTGTTAAAATCTAATCAGATAAATTCTAGAGCTGGAGATATATTTATTTGGTGATCTTAATTTAGATGAAGGTAATTTACATAGTAGAATTCAATGGTATGGAATTTAAAGAAAAATTTTAAACTTAGAGAAAGAAAGCACAGATTTCATTTGATACTGTGTGGTAGAGATTAGGAATGGTGTATTTTTAATCTAGACCAAGATCCAGATGTTTACACTGTAACTTAGCAATGGCACTTTATGAGAAATGTTAAAGAATTTGTAATTTCTGTTTTCCTCCTTGTTTTATTTGGGAAATATTCTAAGATATAGTCAAAGCTAACTGGCAATCACTTATACTGGTTCTTGAATTCAAGAATGTGAAGTCACTGTGGCTATGGAGCCCCATTTGGGATGACCTTTAGTCCACAGAAGGTCAAAAGCCCTGGGGTCTCAGCTGGGTCTGCACAATGAGTCCTCTGTCTGATTCTCAGAAGACCTGGCCACACTGAGGAAAAATCAGAATTGCCCAATTTGAACCATCTGAGTGAGAGTTAACTTGTAGTTTTTCATATACTTTCCATGATAATTTCTGACACTTGTTCTTGATAAGTTATTTTTATTTTTAGAGCATATTTACAGGAGTCCAATTAGAAGTGCATCAGCAGATTCTTACAGGTCTGATCTACAATGCATGGTGATCTTTAAAAAACAATTTGGAATGGGCGTGTGTTGTTTTAAGGGTTGCTATTGCCTTCTCCTTCTCTGGCATCTGAGAATAATCCCTAAGGAGTCAATATTCCTCACTCACTGGAGGAACAGTCAGTACCTGGACCCCGGATGAGGAAGAGGATGAAGCCTGGAGCCTTTAGGGGCTTATAGCTTGAAAAAAAATGAAGGTATTGAAGGATGTGATAAGCCCACCTTCAGAAGGAAAAGGAGGGGATGAGCAATGAAAATGCCTTGATGGGAGGAAGGTAATAATGGTATAGTAAAGGAAAGACAAAAGAAGTGAGGCTCAGACAGAAGTTATATTTGTAAATACATAAGGATCCATGAGGAAGAAGTGATAGTGAAGGATTTTCAACGACATCTAAGGGCAGCACTTTCCTCTTGCGGTGTTAATATTTTTCTATTAAGCATCTGAGGCTTCCATTCTGAAACTGGGTACACAGGACTTAAAGGCCCTTTGTGTTCTCCTGGAGTGAAGGCCAAGTTTTCCTTTGTTTTTTTTCTTAGGTAGTCCGTGTTATTGTGTCTGCCTGAGGCTGTGAGTGAGCATCTCCCAGACAAGGACACTCGGAAGCCAGCTACAGGTTCAAGAGAACAAATGTGCTATTACTGGACTTTCTGCATACACAAATTTGACCATGTCATACCCCATTTAAAACCATGCAGTGGCTACCCAGTGCCCCCAGGATAAAATCATGTCCTATAAGGCCCTTAAAGAGAAGAACCAGCTTGTCTTTCCTGCTCTCATTTTTCCATCCCACACCAATCTCTCCATTCCATGTCCATCACACTCAACCCTTTGTGGTTGCATAGTCAGGCGTGCTCCCTCTCCTTTGTACACATTGCTACCTTTACGCCTGTTCAATTTCTTCAAATCTCTCCCACTTCTCCATCAAGATGATTGCTATTCATCCCTCAGGTCTCAACTTAAACTCTAAAACTTATTCCCTGACTTCCCCCAAGACTAACACCACTACCCGGTATAAAAATTGCCAGTTCACTGACCTGTTGCCCTTCCCATTCTAAACTGTACAGCACAACTCCAGGGGCATCATTTACATAGCTATGGAGTTATGAAAGGCAGAGGTCCTAACTCTGACTCTAAGCTCTTTGAGATAGAGATTATATTTTGTTTACTACTGTATAACTAGTACCCAGCAGAGTGCCTTGCACACATCAGGTACATAATATCTGTTGAATGAATTATCTTTATTCATCTGGCATTTATTTGGGGTAATCTTGGAGTGCTTCAATTAAAAAAGGTATTTAGCAGTATGGGAGAGAAAAACTCCAAAGTTTCAAATATAAAAAAAGAAAACGTTGGGGGCTTCCCTGGTGGCACAGTGGTTGAGAGTCCGCCTGCCAATACAGGGGACACGGGTTCGTGCCCCGGTCCGGGAAGATCCCACGTGCCGCGGAGCGGCTGGGCCCGTGAGCCATAGCCGCTGAGCCTGCGTGTCCGGAGCCTGTGCTCAGCAATGGGAGAGGCCACAACAGTGAGAGGCCCAAGTACCGCAAAAAAAAAAAAAAGAAAGAAAACGTTGAGTGTTGTGGATTGGTATGTCAGGATAATAATTTGTACTAGGTACAAAAAGAAGGGGATGACTTTCCTGAACTGTTTCAGAGCAACCCAATAGTTAATGCAAGTATTTCTTTTATAGAAGAATCACAGTTAATAAAAGCAGAAGAAAAAAGAGAATAAGGTATCACTGTTTTGCAAGCCCTAATGAAAAAACAGATCTAGGCCATGATCAGTAATGGTTGCCAAAACTTTTACATAACCCACTGGTCAATCTTGAGATCAGTAAGAGGAGAACAACCAAATATCACGTGTCTCCTGATGAGATGTAGTAGGAAGCAAGAGTACCACCTATAAAATATTCTTGCCAAGAGGAAAAACAAACGGTAATCTAATCAAGCCTCTAAACGTAATTACCAGTTTTCAGGAAGTCTGTGGATAGAGAAATATATCAAACAACAAAAGGAGTCAATCAACCAAAATCAGAATGTGGGAAATGCTATAAGACAAACAACCCAATTCCTTAAATAGATAGCCATACTGAAAAAAAGAGGGGGAGGACTATTAGAGAGAAAGAGAATTATTAACCAAATGCAATGTATAGGCTTTGTTTGAATTCTAATTCAAACCAACCAACCATAAAAAGATTCTTTCTGAGAAAAAATTCAGAAGGCTAAGAATCAGAGGATATCAATAAATTATTGTTAATTTTATTGGGTATAATAAAGATATGAAAAAATAACAGAAATATTTACAGATGAAATGTCTATGATTTGATTTAATACTGCAGTACAAATACCGCAGTACAAATAAAACACCAACAGCAAACAGTAGGAAGGAAGTGATAAGAACAGTAGAGAGTTAATTGTTGAAGATGGGTGACAAGTACATGGATTCACTATACTATTCTCGTTCTCAGTATTTATACTCTTTGAAAACTTCCATAATAAAACATTTTAAATAGATAAACGAAGAGGGGAACAAATAAAGGAAGACTCCACAGGTGAGACATGTTCCAAAGCAGTTACCAGGAGAAGGTGACTTAGGAAAGAACCAAATACCAAATAGCAAAAACTTTCAATATAACATAAGCAAGACTGAGACAATGGGTCGCAATGATGAATACAAGGAAAGGTCCTGGAAGAAACATTAGCATGCATGCCCAGAGCCTTCTGATCCTGGATATCCTCAGAAATATTACAGAAAAATTGAGACCATTCAATATAGGAGGCAGAGTCATTTGAATGCTGTAACAGCGGACTGTGGTCTACAGGCTATAATGAAAGGAAAAGTGAAAGATACTATAACACCAAAGCCAGAATATACAGGTTTTGGCAAAAGCTTATGCATATGAAACAAGCTCATGAGGAAGTAATCTACCTCCACGACATAAGGCCAATAAAATATCCTAAGATTCTAGAAGCCCAACTGGTTTTCATTCTGTTTTCCGGGTCAGAGCCAAAAAAACAGAGTAAGGGGTGCTTAGAATCAATCTAAAAGCCCCCTTTGATTTAGATGATGGTTCTCACTCAACAAGCCAAGTGGACACATTCCCATATGCCCAGTTGGTTCAGCCTGGTATCTCCGAGACAACTGGCCCTAGCAAAATGAATGATAAGTATTTCTAATGATTTTGTCACTATCTTTTTTGCTCAAGGACTACTTTGTCCCAGGATGTTATTTTCTTTATAAAATAAAAGCATCTTCATCGCAAGTGAGGCAAGAACAGGAGGAGCGGATCTCATTAATTAGGGCATGTGTATCAAGGAAACTAGAGCTCAGAGTCCCAGCTGTGAATGACCAATCTCCCAATTCAGCAGACCCTAATACTCAGGTTCCTTTCAAACCTGGACTCATGCTTAGCTTAAGGTAAGATATTCTAATCTAAGTCTCCAGGAAAGGGGAATTGGAGAATTTTTTCAGATCCTCGGAAATAGATTCCCAATCATTCTCCACATTAATCTCCACAGAAACAAAGTAAGGGCAAGAGACAGTTTTACCTCCTGTGGATTTACGGCAGTTAAGACAGACACCTCATATGACTGCCTCCCTGACTGCATGGTCACCAAATGATGCGTCACATCAGGCACTGAAGACAGAGGACGTGGGGATCCTTCAGCAAGCACCTCTGAAACAGCAGAAAAATGTTTCAATGCAAAGTGAATCCACAGATCTACCTACCTACCTTCATTATCAAGTCTCTCATTAAGAACACTTAAAACTGTTCCCTGAAAAACTGAATCCCACATTCCTGTGTTTCTTCCAAATTAATTCCTGCCTGATAATCACTATCAGTGAATTTGCAAAGTATTACAAAAGGGGGATGGGAAAAAAAGGCAAGAAATCTTGATATAACAGCTGACCATTTTTCAGTATGCCAATTTAGAGTAATATGGCTTTAGCACTATTAACTGGATTAAAAATTGCTTATGAATCAGGGAACCAGAGCCAACGCTTAAAGCAGTCACCAGTGATGGAAATAGTGCAATACGTGCTAGTCAAGAGCTTAAACCTGGCTCCAAAGTTCCTTCTCACTGTCTCTTCCTCCCTTGAGACTTTCCTCCTTAGTATCATTTATGAAACAGAAGAGGCTTATTGTGGAAGCACACTCTGGGCCTTGTAGGCTCCATATATAAGTTACACAAACATGGTCTTTATACCCAAAACTGACTGACTGGGATATGAGTAACGAAAACAAAGGATCTCAGACTTATTAAATGTTCATCAGCAGAATCACCACGAAAATCTTCTGGAAATTGCTTACACATAAACCACTTAGCTCTCAAATAAATTAAGGGTACCTTCTAGGGGCTTTCTAGCTTATATTGCTCTTCCAGGATACCACATAACTTAACGTTTGCTTATACACTATCTTCTACTCACTCAATGTTGTTTCCCATAAGTAAGTTTTGACTTCTGAACTAGATTTTAAGGTCCCTGTCTTCTACTTTTCTTTCCCATGGTGCCAGGTACACATTAGGCACTGAATAAATGCATGCTGACCTCACCTGTTAAGTTTTTCAGAGAAGAGGGCCTGGCCTGTGTAACTTGGGTGAAATTTCTATACCAGAGAGGAGCAACTGTTTCCTAGAGAGCCCTTTCTTTTCTCCAGAAGATATGGCTTTTGAAGGTATGGAGAAATTGCTTTAATTCTCCTCTGTAAAACCTGGTTATGTTCTGTTTAAATATTTTAAAAGTTAAGTTCTTCCATAACTGCAATAGGAAAGATAGAAACAGTTGGGCTAGGATGCTAGGATTATGGATAATTTTCTTCTTAAAACTTTTTATTCTTTTGTAACATTATCTTTTCAATGAAAAAACTTTTTAAAATATTCACTTTTCCACTCCAGAGACAACACAAATGCTACTCAATCATACCATTTCTACTCACAAGAAATGAAATTAATTAAAACCTCCATTTTGGAGAAAACCCCATTCCTTAGTCCCTAGTTGCAGCCCATTTTCCCCAAATAAAGGAGAGTTGAAAGTCTTACCATCATCAACTCCTAGGATAGAATTGGTATTTGGTAGGTTCAAGGACTCTCCACCAAGGCTGGGCTGAGAATTCATAGACACCAGGTTTTTACTGGTTACTGAAGCCTCTTCAAGCAAACTACTGCCCATTAGTGGCTCAGCTGCACAGAGAATAGGATGTGAGAGACATACAGCAGTCAAGGCTGTGCCTGGTCCCCATTTTCCTTCACGAGAAGCTGGCTTTTTTTTCAGAACTAAAAGTTAACCTGTACCTTGGATGCCACCTCCTCTATTTCACTTACTTTTGGGAAGCAAAAATAAACCTAGAAGGGAAGAGTTTGAGCCTCATGGATAAATACCCTTGCTTGTGATCAGCATCTGGATAACAAACATATAAAATGGGATGGGTGCATCCTTAGAAAGGAGTATTTAGAATAAAATAATTGATTAAGGAAAGACATGGAAAGGAATAATAATAAAAACATATTATCAAATTTAAGCTAGGGTAAAAAGGGAGTCATGACTGATAAGTAAAAAATGCTTAAACTCTTGTCATACAGAAATCTTCATCACAGTGACACTCAAATGATGGTTCATGGATCAGCACCAGTTACCATCAAACTCACTAGAGGAACTTTCAAAATTATAGACTCCAGGATTTTACTACCAAGTAATCTCATTTATCAGGTTGTTTTGTTTTGCTGGGGGGGGAGGGGTGGACAAGCAATACACAATATATGTTTTAAAAGCTTGCAAACGATTTTACTGTACAGCTACATTTGGAAACCACTAGTCCATCAAATGAGACCAATCTCTCTACCCAAAATAGAATCAGAAAATTTCCACATCAGACAGGCCAGTTATTTGGCTTTTTGAACCCCCAAAATATAGCCCTCCACTATACCCTCTTCTCCTTACCAGTTTGTTCCTGCTCTTGACTCCCAGCTGCTCCCATCTGCAAGTGATGCTTTCTCATGTGCACATTCCTGCTCCCACTCTGAGAGAAGGTCTTCCCACAGACTTGACACTGATGTGGCTTCTCTCCTGAAACACAGACCCGGTTAAGACAGGGGAGCCAAAAAGACAGGGTACATTTCTGACAGCAAGAGAATAGACTCAAGCCCTAGATGGAGAAGCCCAGAGGATGTTAAACTAAACATTAAGAGGCTACTCCTTCTCCCATGCCGCACCTTCCCCCAGCCTCTCAACCTTCAGTACACAGGGGAAGGCTGGAAAGTACACCAGGAGGGCTTAGCACACTCACTGCTCCCAGCCTCCAGTACTCTCCAGACCCACTGTACTGCTGCTTCCACAAAACAACTTCTCTGGTATAAGATCATGGTAGACACAGAATATTTACTTCCCTTTTCAGATACAGTCTTCCATGGACCTCAAGGACATGCACTAGCCTCAAGGATTCCAACCCTGGATTCATAATATACCTTTATCCCGTGTCCTGCCATAACTCCCAGTCTTCAATGTTCACACTGGTGGTTCTTCTACACAATGATCTGAACTATCCCTTAGGTCCTCAAGTCTGAAACCCTCAACTTCTATCCCACCTACCCAGACAACCACACTTAGAGCGGGGTCAAAAACTTATGCCAAAGAACAAAAACAAAGAAAACCCTTATGCCTACAGGGGACTAGTAGATCGCAAAACTAAGTGAAATGACCAGAAAATTTCCAGAAGAGGCAGAATATAGAGAGCCAGAAAGCTGGTCAATGACTGCCTGGATCTGGGGGTGGGAGCAGGAACTGACAGCAAAGGGGCACAAAGGAACTTTTGGTGTGATGCAAGTGTTCTAAAACTGGATTGTGGTGGTGATTGTACAATCCTATATATTTTCTAAAAATCACTGATGTGTATACTTACAATGGATGAACTTTAAGGTATGTGCATTAATAGGTCCAAAAGCTGTTAAAAAATAACTATAATGGATTGAAATACAGTGAATATGTAGAAACACATGAATTCAAGATAATATTAATGAGAGAGAGAAAAAAAAAGCAGTGAAAATGACACTACTAGAAGTAACCAGAGTACCAATTTCTTATTCTGAAAACTCACAGTTAAAAGAATTACACATTTATCCTGCCTTTTGTGTACAAATTACCAAATAGCCCTAGTTGATAGAGACCCATTATACAGAAGAATTCTGGCTAACAAATGTGAATGAATAATAGAATTAGAAAAATAACATTTTACAACCCTGCTGAAATAACGAATTCAGGCATCATTCAGAGATGAAACCATAAGGCTGCTAGGGAACATTACAATGTGGGGATCAGGGTGTTACCACCTGAACCAATTGATCAATTTTGACAACTAGGCTCAGTATGCCTCCTGATGTGATGCAAAATGAAACACAACCACCTATAACATAACCTTGCCAAAATCTTCGAGCCTTTGAAGCTTTTAGGAAATATAGGGGAACAAGTTAAATGACAGAAAAGGAGGCAAACCAACAAATTCAGAACGTGGGATGAGCTACAGGACCAACTGACTCTGTTGTGCAATAAGTCTATAGCATGAAAAACAAAAAGTACAGATAGATCTAGATTCCAGAAGACTTACTAGCCAAGTGCAACGAGTGGACCTTGTTGGATCCTGATTTAAACAAAGGCACTTTAAAAGACATTTTTGAGACAATTGGAAAAAAATTAAACATGGAGTGAATCTCAGATAAAACCAAGGAGTTATTGTTAATTTTGATAGATATGATAACAGCATTATTGTTATGTAAAAAAGTATTTTTCTCTACTTTTATGTATGTTTGACAAAATTTTACGTAATAAAATAAAGAACAGTAAAATGAAAACACTCTACAAACCAAGCAAAACACATCTGGAAGTCCACATCTAATCCACAGGCTATCAGTTTGCTATCTCTGCTTAGAATCTGTCATCATATTAAAAAACTGCTCTACCTCTAGGATCTCAGCTCTGAAATTCACATCCCTGACTGATTATACCTCTCCAACTCCTTTGCTCCCACTGAACGGTTTTGCTGTCTTCATGATAAATAACTTCTAGTTCCTTCTCCCCACTCCTCCCATTCTGGCTTCCCTTTGCTCCCCATGGCTAGCCATTTGAACAATTACCAGATTCCATTTTAGAATCTCTCTCCACTTCGAGTTCACTTCTGCCTTGGCAAGTCTGCTCTGAATAACTCCATGGACCATATCTGATGTAACTTATAAAGTACCCAGTGTAGTGCCAAATAAATTTGTTGATTCCCTCAGAAAAAGGTCTCAATTAGAATGCAGTTCAATGGCTCAGCTGAAAATAATAATAATTAGATATTTTCTCCTTGATTATATGACCCTTTGAATGCAAGCATCAAGGGCCTTGATTTCTGGTTCTGTCAGGATAGGGAGGAAACTTTATGGTGAACAGTTTGTTTCTCTTTAGATCTCTTTATACCACTACCCTAACCTTTTACCCTTTTGGCTCTCCATCTTCCCTGAAATCTATGAATGGCACAGGTTCTAGTACCTGAGTGAACGACCAAATGTTTTCGAAGACTAGAATACTCAGCAAAGGAACGGCCACATCCTTGGGCTTCACAAAGGAAAGGCTTCTCTCCTAGAGACAGAAAATAAGATAAAGACTCACTCTTCTGATGAACTATTATTCTGTTTTCCCATCAACCTTTTCCTGTTTCCAAAAACTTACTCTGATTTCCTGAATTCACGCTATATAATTTCAACCGGACTATCCAGCAGGTGTCACCTCTCAGTCACAGCCCTGCAGACAGCCCTGCCCTTTTCTTTAGAGTAGCTGCCTCTGAGCATACTTCCTCCTCCCTCCTCAGGGGCTGAGCCCCAGCTGCACTGAGCTACCTTCTTTGGTGATCCCATCCCTTCTGAGGATATCAGGAAAACAGTGTATACACTCTCAGGATTTTTACCTTACATCAATTCTCTTTAAGATTGAGTTTCTAGATCCATTTAAGAGTACAGATTTTTAAAGGTTATAAAATAGGGGGCTTCCCTGGTGGCGCAGTGGTTGGGAGTCCACCTGCCGGTGCAGGGGAGACGGGTTCGTGCCCCGGTCTGGGAGGATCCCACATGCCGCGGAGCGGCTGGGCCCGTGAGCCGTGGCCACTGGGCCTGTGCGTCCGGAGCCTGTGCTCCGCGACAGGAGAGGCCACAACAGTGAGAGGCCCGCATACCACACACACACAAAAAAAGGTTATAAAATAGGTATTACATAATCCCATCTTATAAAAGCAAACAAATAAAAACAGCTGTTTAGTGAGAGGTACACAAAAAAATCTCACAATGTGTTAACAGTAGTTATAACCTGATAGTGGTATTATGATTTTTCTTCTTGTGCTTTTCCATAATTTTCATTTTCTACAGCATTACTTTGTTATTTTAAAAATCAAAGATGCACGGTGAAAACTGAATGAGGTCTGTAGACTGACAGTACTGTTGACTTTCTGGTTTTGATACTGTACTATGGTTACATAAGATGTCACTTCTGAGTGGAAGCTGGGTGAAGCACATACAGAACTCTTTGTACTCTTTTTGTGACTTCTCATGAGTCTATAATTGTTTCAAAATAAAAAGTGAAAAAAATCAGAGATGCAGTCCATATCTCCCAAGGGTCACCACCTAGTGAGAGATAAACGTATTCATAAATGACTTTAATTCTGGTATAAAAAAGTGCTATATGCAATTATAAAGGGGAGGAATTCTTACTGTGGTAACTTTTTTTTTTTTTTTTGTGGTATGCGGGCCTCTCACTGTTGTGGCCTCTCCCGTTGCGGAGCACAGGCTCCGGACGCGCAGGCTCAGCGGCCATGGCTTACGGGCCCAGTATGTGGGATCTTCCCGGACCGGGGCACGAACCTGTGTCCCCTGCATCAGCAGGTGGACTCTCAACCACTGCGCCACCAGGGAAGCCCGGTAACTTCTCTTTTTAAAGAAGCTGAATTTAAGCTGCTCTTTAAAGATGACAAGGATGAAAGGAAATTTCAGGCATAAGGACTAGTATGAGCACAGCCTTGAAACTGAGAGCGCCCAAGGCAAGTTCAGAAAACTACAAGTGTGAAATAAGTATATATATTGGTCTTTGCCCCAGTTCCTGACACACAGCTTTAAAACCCTTGTACACAGGGGTGCTAGAATTTTTTGTTCTAACATTTAATCTTGGATCCTAGCTCCTGATGCAGAGCTCCTGAACCCCTTGTAATTTTTTAAGTGATATGAGCACTAGGATAATCTGTTGTTCTAATATTTGGTCTTTGACAGTGATTCCTGACACAGAATTCCTAACCCCTTAGAATTTACTGGGTGACAGCAGTGTCTCTTCTAATGAGGTGACTCTTGGTGGGCTCCTGGATGGGGGTGAGTCACCAGAAAGACCAAGCCATGATTAGAAGCTTGAGATTTTCAGCCCTACCCCCATTTTCCAGAGAGGAGAGAGGGCCTGGAAATGGATTAATCATCAATCATGCCTACGTGATGAAACCTCCATAAAAATTCCAAAAGTACAGGGTTCAGAGAGCCTCTGGGCTGGTGAACATGTCTATGTGCCAAGAGAGTGGCACACCCCAACTCCGCAGGGATAGAAGCTCCCGTGCCTGGGACTATTCCAGACTTCACCCTGTGTATCTCTTTGTCTGGCTGCTCACCTGTATCCTTTATCATATCCTTTATTACATAATAAACTGGTAGACATGTTTCCCTGAGTTCTATGACCTGTTCTAGCAAATAACTGAATCCGGGACGGGGGGGTGGGGTGGGGGGGGTCATGGGAACTCCAATTGGTAGCCAAGTCAGACAGATGTTGTGAGTAACCTGGGGACTTGCTACTTGCAATAGACATCTGAAGTAGGTGGCAGTCTTGTGGGGCTGAGCCCTTAACCTGTGGGATCTGACGCTGTTTCCAGATAGTGTCAGAATTCAGTTAAATTATAGACACCCACCTGATGTCACAGAGACTTGCTTGGTGTAGGAAAACACATTTGGTGTCAGAACTGTTATGAGTGTGACAGTGTGAGAGAGTAAAGGAGAAAAACAGAAACTCAGCAAGTAAGGCTGGTATGGTGAAAATACAGAAGCTGGGCCTTGAAGGAGGGAGGAGCACAGCTCTAGATTATACTGTTCTTTCAGACTGTACCACACGGTTTAACGTTTGTGATTTTCCAGTGGTCTGTAACTTTTTGGAAAGCATATCTGTATACTCACACTAACCCCAGAATGCCAGGCACTCCAAAAGTCGCCGAATGAATGAACAATATATTCATACATATGATAGAATAAACACCAGGAAAACAGAAAATTGCAGTTAATAAATAAGGTTAAATGTTTAACAAGATGAACTCAAGAACCTCAGAAAAAGATTTCAAAACAGATTCATCAGAATCTAGTGGCAGGAATCTCATCAAGCTGCCTTAAGTTAGAGGGCCTTCCTATTTGGAAACTGAGAGGATGGTGATTTTGCTGCAATAAAGAGGAGGAGGAGGTTCAAGAGGCAATGCTGCATAATGGTTGAGCGTGAGCCAGTTAGCCCTGAGTTCAAATTCTGGCACTACCACTTACCAGTATGGGGAAGATATTTAAAACCTATGAGAATCAGTTTTTCATCTATAAAATTAACATAATACAACCTCAAAAGATTATTTTGAGAATTAGATGAAATGATACAAGTTAAATATATTTAAGCATAGTGCCTGGCACATAGTAAGCCACTAAAATTGGCAGCTTTAATTACTACCGTTACTACTAATAAAGATCTGAGGTCAATTTTGACATCTGAGATAAAATGAGTTGTCAGCACTTGAAAATAAAATCCTTGCAAGAGCTTTGGAGTCAGATCAGAACTCAAATGCCAGTTCTACCATTTCCTAGCTGCATAATGTTGGGCAAGTTCCTTAACCCTCTAACCTTCTGTTTCTCCATCAATAAACTCAGTTATCTAAAGCATAAAGGTACCTTGAAGATTACATGAGATAATGTATATGTGCTTGGTACATATTAAATTGCCTTAATAAATGCTTTTTATTATTATTATTTTTAATTTATTTATTTTTGGCTGCGTTGGGTCTGTTGCTGCACGCGGGCTTTCTCTAGTTGCGGCGAGTGGGGGCTACTCTTCATTGTGGTGCACGGGCTTCTCATTGCGGTGGCTTCTCTTGTTGTGGAGCACGGGCTCTAGGTGTGTGGGCTTCAGTAGTTGTGGCTCACGGGCTCTAGAGCGCAGGCTCAGTAGTTGTGGTGCACGGGCTTAGTTGCTCCGTGGCACATGGGATCCTCCCGGACCAGGGCTCGAACCCCTGTCCCCTGCATTGGCAGGTGGATTCTCAACCACTGCACTACCAGGGAAGTCCTAACTTTTATTATTATATTAATTACTGAGATTCAGATCTGTGAGACATCCAGGAAGAAATGATTAAATTGAAGCCTGAGACTGCAATGAGACAGCACATTGAGTAAAATGCGAGAAACCCAAAATTCTGAAATTGGTCAACAATTAGATTAACAAGGCAGAGCTAGCAAGAGTCAGAATGAAGAGAGAAAATCAGGTCACACTCTGAATAAAAGAAAGCATTTTAAAATATGTTCACTTTTATCAAATGCTACAAAGATGACAAGTGGCACAAGGATGAAGAGGTTACTGAATTTAATAAGGCACAGTGAATTCTACTACTTTCCTTAACTATTCAGCTAGATGTTTTTCCTGTTCTTTTATTCAAACTGCTTTCTTAGAGCAAGAATACTCTTTCAAGAAAGAACTGAGGGGCTTCCCTGGTGGCACAGTGGTTGAGAATCCTGCCAAGGCAGGGGACACAGGTTCGAGCCCTGGTCTGGGAAGATCCCACATGCTGAGGAGCAACTGAGCCCGCATGCCACAGCTACTGAGGCTGTGTGCTGCAACTACTGAAGCCCATGCACCTAGAGCCCATGCTCTGTAACAAGAGAAGCCACCGCAATGAGAAGCCCGCACACCGCAACTAAGAGTAGCCCCCGCTCGCCACAACTAAAGAAAGCCCACGTGCAGCAACAAAGACCCAACCTGGCCAAAAATTAAATAAATAAATAAATAGAAAGAAAGAAAGAGCTGAGAACAGAGCTATTCTGCCCTAAAATATATCCAGTGGTAATGTCAATCTAGAGGGAATCATAGGAACATGCGCAGAACAAAGGTGGCTTCAGCTTGGGCTTCACTTTTTAAATGCCATTTATTTGTACCTGCTATCATTTTAGCATGCAAGAATAAACAAGGAAGAGAAAGAGAAAGTGGGAAGAATAGTTACATATCCTACGGTAGTAGTCTGGGTTCAGTGATTAAGCTCTGGCAAGAGACTTAGCACAACTGGGCCAAGTGGCTTGGAAAGTCACCCTTAAGCTTTTAGATTAAGAAATCAGGATATCTTTCTTTTGCTCCGTTGATATTAACATGCTATTTGACTCAGGACAAGTCACTTCTCCATTCTGTTTCTCAGGCTGTGAGGCTCTAACAACAAAGTAAACTCAAAGTCAGGGATTAAGCTTAGCTTTTGTATTTCCCCTCACCTTACCCCCCATTTAGTGCCTAGAACAGAATCTGTGTGGTTTGTGTAACTCAATAAATGTTAATGACCAAAACTACAACTGTGTTAAGTTTGAAGATATTTGGAAAGGCTCATTTCTGTCCATACATGATCATATCATTGTTATCAGTGATGGTCTTATATCCCTTCCTACTTAAGGCTACCAGAGACAGAAATCAAACTGTCCATTCTCACACAGAGGTGACAATAAATGTTACTGAAAGAACTGAAAAGTGCCATGAGGCATTTGAAAAAAAGAAATTTCATCCTCAGAGTTCTAGCAACAACCCCAACCTTCGTCTCCTAAGGACAGCCAGCAGGCCCTGAGCCAAGCAGTAGACGGCCTGTGGGAATGCTGGGGTGGCACACACCTGTGTGGATGCGCAGGTGGTTCTTCAGGTTTCCAGCTGTAGTGAACTGCTTACCACAGTTAGACTCGGGGCACATAAAGGGCTTCTCCCCATTGTGGGTCCTCATGTGCACCTTCAGCCTCTGCAGTACATAGAAGCTTTTCCCACAACCTGCTGCAGGGCAGATAAAGGAGCGGTCGTTTCTGGGGGGAAAAAAAAAAAATCACATACGCAACAATGCCTGAAAATGCTCTTTGCTAGAGAAGACAAGTCAAAGCTCCTACTGACTCTCAAGGCAGACAGTAAATCCCAAATCTAGATGTATCAGAATCACCTGAACTACAGATGCCCTACTTCTTGAAATACTGATTTCACAGGTTTAGAGTGGGGCTTAAGCTTATATACAATTTTTAAGTTCTCCAAGACTTTATGTTTTATGATGAGATTTGAGAACTCTTGCTCTAAGATATTTAGGTGCCAAATGTTTGAACAAGGTAAATGAGACAATGCAAATGTTTCTAGTAAAGAACAAAAGACATCTTAACCACAAGTGAGCTGGAGCCCCTGCTTTCCTTTAATCTGTCAAGTGGAGGGACTTCTGTCAAGTTCCTTCAGAAGCATCAACTTTCTTAAGCTCCAAGTATGGAATCTCAGGTTTGCTCACCGATGAGTTTTGAGGTGGTACTTAAAATGAGCTGGCCACACAAATGTCCGGTCACAGCCTTCAACTGTACACTTGAGCTTCTTCTCCATTTGAGGAAGGGGCCCAGAATCTTTCGGTTGCCCATCACCAGAACCAAGGTGGACATTTTCTCCTGTAATAGAGTCACATATTTATAATCTAGGGAAGGATTCCACTCAGATACTTTGGTTCAAACAATAAAGCCACTCCTAGTGATCATTAATCACATATCGATCCTTCATCTTCCCCAGCTTGCTTTGCATTCATTTAACAGAAGTGAGAGGGCTCTATATCCCCATCCCCTTACTTAATCCACAGAACTACAAAAAGCCACAAGACTAGGCCTCTTTGGCAAATGTAAGAAATATCCAAAATGGTTTCATATCAAAAAGCAGAGTTCAACCTATTTTGCATTACAGATTGGTAAGGAAGCAGGTATGTCAACACCAGGAGTGGGGTCCTACAGAAGATGACTTAAAGCTCTAGGTAATAAAAACTTGTATTTTAAGGAGAAGCCGCCCGTCTGGCTTAGCTGTGAACTTACAGTAGTAATTTCTTTTGTAGATGGCCATTCTTAGATTTCTATCTTCTGAAGTCAATTTGGCTGTTTCTATCATTCTAGAGAATAAGAATCACCTTCTAATTTCCTGTACCACCCCTCCTTAGTTACAAAATATCTAAGAATGCAAAAACTCAGCTCATTTTCAAATTTCTTACCACATTTTTAAAAGTTAGAGATAATACTGCTCAAGTTTTTTGTTCAATAGAATAAAAGGAGGGGAGGAGAGGAGCATATGGTTCAGTGACTTTCTTAAATTTAAACGAAATCAGTTAACTAAATCTTTAAATAAATTCCAGATTAGCAGGTGGTGCACCCTTTCCTTCATTTTCTTCAATTCATAGTTGGACATCAATGGAGAAAAACATTCACAACCACTTAATTCTGTTATAAACATATGGAGTTTATCTTTCCACTACATACACCTTAGGAATAAGATTCATATTTCCAAATTTCCCTCTCAAGAGCCAAGAGTAGGATAATATGTTATACATATCACACTCCCGGGAACCTGACAGTTGATCAAAGGCAGTTTCTGTCCCATCTATTAACCTTACTTTCTTCCTGCCCTACATTCTCCTTGCTGTACTTCACCAAATGCTAATCATAAAACTAATTGCTCCAAGGTCAGAGCAGAACCTAAGATGCCTTTTGCTAGTTAATATTAATTAACTTGTTCTTTTTAAATATTGTCTTGTTTTTTTGTTTGTTTAACTGAAACATGGGTAAATTTTAAACAGCACAGAAGTGCGTATACTGTAAGGAAAATTTCCCACTAACTCTAGAGCTCCAGCTAATTAATTTCTAATGAAAGGTCTGTAGAAACCCATGCTAATCCAGAGATTTAAACCAGTGACAGGACTTCCCTGGTGGCGCAGTGGTTAAGAATATGCCTGCCAGTGTGGGGGACACGGGTTCGAGCCCTGGTCTGGGAAGATCCCACATGCCACAGAACAACTAAGCCCGTGTGCCACAACTACTGAGCCTGCGCTCTAGGACCCGCATGCCGCAACTACTGAGCCCATGTGCTGCAACTACTGAAGCCCGTGTGCCTAGAGTCCATGCTCTGCAACGAGAAGCCACCGCAATAAGAAGCCCGCGCACCGCAACGAAGAGTAGCCCCCGCTCGCCGCAACTAGAGAAAGCATGCGCACAGCAACCAAGACCCAATGCAGGCAAAAAATAAATTAAATTAAAAAAAAAAAGTATAAACTGGTGACAGTTGGGGCTTCATGCATTCAATTTTGTAGATATCAATACAATGAGAACATTGATATAATCATACAACAGGGGGAAAAAATCCTTCAGAAAAGAGTGAGCTGTCTTGTATTTTGAGTCATTATAAAATTTCTCAAAGTGCTCCCTAAATTACTTTGTTTTTGAAAACAAAGCACTGTTTGCAGAAGACAGATTAGCTTAAAATGACCTCAGCCAATGACAGTTCTGGATATTTAGAGGTCATCTGATGAAATGGTTTCCCCCTCCCTCACCCCCCAAGAAAAGAGAGCAAGAGAGACAAACTCAACACCTTATATGGTACATGTTGAATAACACTGTAAACACGTTAAAGATCCTACAGTTATGTGGGCGAGGTCTTTACATTTGGGATATAATTTCCAGAGAAAGTAGTACTGTATAGAGCAGGTCAGTAAACTTTTCCTGTAAAGGGCCAAACAGCAGATATTTTTGGCTTTGAGGGCCATATGGTCTCTGTCACAACTACTCAACTTTGCCACAGTATCAGCCATAGACAATTAGTAATTAAAGGACATGCCTGTGTTCCAATATAACTTTATTTACAAAACAGGTGGTTATTGGCCCTTTGCTGACTCCTGATATACAGCATCACACACAAAATTAAAATATTTCTGTATTTCAACTTAGATGGAAGTGACAGTATGTTTGTGGTAATGACAGTATATACCTTATCTCAATAATTTTTTGTATTACCTTAATTGTCACAGGTTAATGAGAAAATACAGAGACAGACCTAAAACAAAAAATATTATGGCATGCTACACAAGCAAAGGTCTTGCAGTGGTTTAGGAGTGGTGTGAATAGAGCGATGGTCCCCAAGCTTTAACATGCATCATAACCACAATGAGGGCTTACTAAAAACTTCCAAGTTTCTGATTCAGTAAGATGAGACCTGATAATTTGCATTTCTAAATTACTGGTGATGCTGATGATCCAGGGATCACACTTTGAAAATTACTGGATAGAAAAAAAGTGGCACAGAGTAAATAGTACAGGCATGCTGAACTCAAAAGAAACCATACTATACCCTATTTGGATATTTAGGTCTTCTGGTGAATTGGTTCCACCCTCCCTGCCCTGCCCTGCCCACCCCCAACCCCCCAAAAAGCAGCACTATGGTAGCTGCTAATTGCTAAATCGCCATGAGCAGCAATTTAGTTTCAGCAAAACATTATCATCTGCCACACTGCCTTAAAATTAATTTTATTTTTATTGGTTTTATAGTTTTATTTCTATTAATTGATAAAACTGTCTTAATTTCATAACGGTGTAAAAGGTCTAAGTATAAGGACCATCACAATAAAAACAATTCAAGATAACACCAAGATGTGCGAAAAAATTTTTTCCTTTAAAAGGGGTTTAGTATACTATTTAAAGCTGACAATTGAGAATGCTAGTTCAGTTGATTCTGCACATGAATCTGGCATGGCTGAGTTATTTTTCAGAAAATAAGAAAAACAATTTACGTATTTCTAGCCTTCTGCTCTTACCAATAAAGTAATTTGGATTATATGCAACTCAAAATATAGCCACTGTATTACCAAAATCTCTGCACAGAATACTGGAAAGGAAAACACCACAGGGGTCTCACCATTGCTGCTGGTTTTCGCATTCTTTGCCAGTTGTGCACGAGTAGCAGCAATCAAACTGTCATGGGCCAACTCCTGAACCCGGAGGAACCATGGAATGCTACTGTCTGTGCTCTCACTGGAGAGGAAATCATTCCCTGAATCCTCTGCCTCATCTTGTACAAATACTAAGTGTTCGGCTGAAGAGCCCAGACCTGGAAGAAACAAAGAGGATATATGAAAGTTAGCCAACAAGTAATGCTTTGATTGGCCCTGGCTCAGAAACTCTGTGTCCTGATCAGCTATTCCACACTTTCACCTCTCACCTCAAGCTTCTGTTCTCATACAAGATTAGGTTATCACCTTTCCACTCCCAGCTGACAGGCTGGTCTTTATCTTACCTACTCCTGTTTCAGAGGCAAAACGGTCTTTCCTAGCAACCAGGCTAACCCTCACCTCTAGAATCCCAATCCTATCTTTTAGTTTTCTCCTCTCCCAACTTCAACCCATTCCTCCTTAGTGGCCACCTTACAGCTTCCCTTTCAGCCTTTCAATCTGTCCAAGCTCAAGTCTCTCCCATCCTTTTTTTTAAAGAATAGAAAATCCCAACTATGTCTCTAAATATCACCTTCTCACCTGTTCCTTCAAAGTCATGTTTCTTGAAGTTTCTTAACTTCTAACTTGTGTATCTACTTTCTCACCTGCTGTCCATTCCCTATCTCTTTAACCCTAAGCTCCACCTCTACTACCTCAATAACAATTGCTCTTGCTGAGTTTGCCGGACATACACTTCCCAGTCCTCATCTCACTGGCCCAGTATGTGGTATTTGGCATGATTCTGTACCTTTTCTTCTTTAAAACGTTTCCTTCCTTGGCTCCCCCCACATCATTCTCATTTTGTTTTCTTGAGATCCCTCTCTCTAGAAGCTGCTTCCCATTCTTCTGTTACCCTCTTAAAATTTTTTTTCAGGGTCCCAGATTTGCCTTCTTTTCTGTTTATGCTCCAGACTACTCCTGAATCAAAGAATCCATGCTCATTGTTTCATACACTTCCTGAATGCTGATAAGCACTAAAACTACTTATTTCACAACAGACCTCTCTAGAACTCTGGATTCCTGTTTCTAACTCTCTAAAGGACACCTCCTCCTAAATGTCCCTGTGAAATCTCAATATCAGCAGGCACAAATTGGAACTAATCATTCTCCCGCAGCCCTACTCTTCCTGTGTGCACTATCTTGGTGAATGACACCACTTAATTTCCCAAACAAAAAATTTTTGAGTCATCTTAGAGTCTGCCTTCTCCCTCTACATACCCAACTGATCACCAAACGACACCAATTCTCCAAAATAATTAAAGAATAGTTTCTTTCCACTTTAAATATGACTAAGTTAACTATTCCCTGCTCCCCAGTTTTTTTTCTTAAGCATGAGCAGAAGTCAGAAAAGGGTAAAGAATACCTGCTCTTGTTAGGTTAAGAAGAATAAAAGAAGTGCTATCACTTGGCTGTAGATCTTGCAACAAGCTAGGAGACTCTGGAGTGGACAAAAACTCTGGAGACTTCTGTACGGTCTGAGCCCTCGTCTCTTCTCCGTCTGGACCCACATTCACCTGAAGGCTTCTCAACACAGCCGAGGAAGGAACCTCCTTGGAGGAGTTAGTATGATTTGGAGTATCATCTAGTAAAGGGAAAATACCACAGCTTTATGTAGCACCTATCTCCAAGGAGTTCACCATTTTGATATATGGTACCTAACTCCCTTGTAACATTCCTTAGTGGTAACTAACACCCTTGTAACATCCCTTAGCATCTAACACCCTTACAGGAGCAGACAGCATTTTCATTTTATAAATACAAAATCTGCCTCAGAAAAGAAGAGAGAGTGAAAGGCAGCTAAAGGGTGTCAACCAAAATGTGAGGGGCAGACTCCTCTGATGGTCAGTGGTAACTAATACGAACCATCCACATTTGGACATTGTAGACCTTTGTCCTTTTGAGGCCCCAAATCAGTATATTTCCCTTGAAAAATATAGTTACACAATGAATACAAACTCAAGAACAGGATCTAAATTTTAAACTATTTTTCTTGGGAAAAGATACCTCTCTCTAATTTTTATAACATGTATGTGACAGTTCGGGTGAGTCATTAGGGGAAAAATCACAGCCTGGGATATAACTGAAATTGTATAGAATCATGAGTATGTTTCATTATGGTTCTGGGTTTACACCAGATGTAAAGAAATAATTCAGAAGACTTGCTTCTAGAACTTTATTCTAAGGGAGGGGATGAATTTCCAAAGGTTTTAGTTGCAATATAATGAAGAACTGCCAAAAGTGCTAAAGCATCCGATGTTTTCAGGGGTTTCATTCATCTTTATAGAAGGCAGGTTACATTATTTTCTTCTTTCAAGGAGATAACAGGTAATGTTATAGAAATAAAGTGGAAGCCTAGGGACAGCAATGCCATTCCAAAGCCTAATGAAGTTGTACAACAAAGTGAATGAATTTAATGCCACACAACTGGTTAAATGGTAAATTTAACTGGTTAAAACGGTAAATTTTACATACATTTTACCACAAAAAAAACTGTTCTTAAAGTTCATAGCAGCACTGTTTGTCATAATACAACACTGGAAAATAACTACATATTCATCAGCTGTGGCATGGAAAAAGAAGTTGTGGTACACTCATATAACAGAATACTATATAGCAATGAAACCAAACAAACCAGAGCTACACACAAGGATGAATCGCACAAACATAAAAGGTACAACAAGATACACTCATATGATTCCACTCATTTAAAGTCCAAAATCAGCTAAAATTAGACTTGGGTGATTAAACTTGGAAAACAAAGAACAAATTTTCAAAAAATTGAGGGCAGTGGTGACCTATGGAAGAACAGAGGTTGCTTTTATCATGAAGGAACCCATGGAGGGCCTGGAAGCTGGCAACGTTCTACTTCTTGATTGGGTGGTGCTATCTCCTTTATAATAATTCTTCAAAAGGTATATCCATATAGTTTTGTGCTTTTCTGTGTCTATCACATATCCCAGCTAAAAAGAAAACATGTAGGTCATGCATGGAATGATTCACACATATTTGGGAGGAAGGGGAATGAGATTAGGGAGGTATGTACAAGATACATTTGTGTTTGTAACACTACGTTTCATGAGCTGGGAAGTGAGTACATGGGTTTTCATTTACTATTATCTATAACTGGTTGTCTAAAATATTTTAAATCAAAATTAAAACTAAAAGAAGGTAATGTAGAAAAGAAGATGGATGCTTTTGTTCCTGTTTTCATTTCCTCTATTATTGTCAAAATATTTATTCAATAAATTAAAATTGGGAGAGAAAATTCAGGAAAAAAAGCCAAATGAAGATCAAATTTTATTAGCACATGGAAATTTTCACATATTGAAAATCCATGGATTTGGAAACACTCCCAACACACCAGTAGAAAAATGGGACTTGAGAGATCAACGATGTGGGAAAGACAGGAGCTAGATAGAGGAACCTTAAATCAACACTGGTTGGTTGAATATATCTGCCCTTAAGTCACTTCAAAACTCAAAAAAGAACACCACTAGAGGATAGTAACCAGAAGACTTTATAACAAATAAGTTGTCACCAATAGGTGACCCTCCCCTGATTTAACATTAATATTCCAAATTTTAAATATTTCAATTTCTAGAAAATAAAGAATCCATTGCATCCAAAAACAATGTTTTCCTTCCTAATAGTTAAGTGATAGGATCTCCTTCTTCTCATCCAAAGCTAATCTCACTACCCATGCTCAGCATTCTACTTCCTTCTACCTCTCCTGGAGCCTCCTCACCAATTATCTACTCTTTGTGTAGATAAGAGTAGATGGGCTCCTTCCTCTTAGTATAAAACCACCCTCTAATATTTCAGATCTTAAAAAAGAACCCTTTAATGTACTTTATGTCCTTCTCTTTTTCCTTCCCATAGCAAGACAGCCTTTAGAAAGTATAGTTACTTCCTCAACTTGCACTGATACCTCAACCCACTGCAGCCTGGCTTTCCACTCCCTCTCCAAGGAGCAGGTCCTGCCTAGGTCAACAATGACCTCACTGACCCTATCTCATTGGGACAGTCCCTGTCTCACTGGGCCTCTTAGAAGCATTTGTCACACTTGACTATTCCCTTGGGTTCCATGCCTGCACTCTATGCCAGTATTCCCCCTATTGCTCTAGCCTTTCTTTCTTCCCTCCTTCACAGGCTCTCCTGCCTCACCCCATACCTTGAATAGGGAGTTCCATGCAGTTCTGCCTTGGCCTCCTTTTCTTCTCATTCTCACTCTATGGGTGTTCATAACCATTCCTATGACTTAAACTACCAATGCAGGGAATTCCCTGGCGGTCCAGTGGTTGGGACTCCACACTCTCAGTGCCAAGGGCCCGGGTTCAATCCCTGGTCAGGGAACTAAGATCCCACAAGCTGCATGGTATGGCCAAAAAAAATTTTTTTTTTAAATAAATAAATAAACTAACAATGCACTTATGAGTCCCATGGTTGCTTTTTCTCCACAAATCCTAATTTTTACAGTTTCTACCAGTCAGTTATAAAGTCAGTTATCACATTCCACCAGTACCACAGAGAAGGCTAAGCTCTTAAGACTTGTTTATCTTATCTCTGGTGATCTTAATTTTTACCTGGTAACATTAGCCGACTGCATTCTGAGGCCTCAGTCACTGGAAGGAGGGACAAGCAAGTAATGTCTTTAGCTTCTGATTCTACTAGCCCCTGTCCTAGTGGGATGGACGTATTCTGAACAAACTGTACCAGCAGCTGAAGGGGAAAGGGGGGGATGTGGAGACAACAAATAATACAGGTTATTATGAATGGATCTAAACCTCTGAATTTACCAAAAGGCAATGATGTAATTAAGTCTTGATTGCTCACTAGTCTCAACCTTATTCATAGAAAAACCAGATTAACTACAAAATAATATTTTAACTCATTTTTATCAAGTGTTCTAGATAAAAATTGAATCGTATAATTAACTTCTATCACCTTCCATAAAACAGAGAAATGATAAAAATAATTATATTTTTAAATGGTGGCTATTACAAATTCAACTGCATTGTACTGATTATATTTTATAAAGTACTCTTCTGTGTATAGGCTCTTTTAATCCCCACTGTAACTTAGTGAGATTAAACATGTATTTTAAAGACAAGGAATCAAGTTGAAGACACTAAATGACTAGTCCAAGGTCACATTACTAGTTAGGAGCAATGTCAGTCTTCATACTTAGGTAACATGATTCAAATTCAGTGATCTTTCCACTAAGCAACACACATGTTCTAAAATTAAAATGAGAAAAATTAATAAAAATTTTAAATGTTTAAATCCCCTAATCACATTTAAAAAGAAAACACTTTTAGATATATACAAAATTAATAAAAAATGGTTTGTGGTAGTAAATATTACATATATGTCATATACATAAATTTTGTCATTATGTAATTATGTAAATGTGTAATAATTTACACTTATTTAAATAACAAGTATAAAAAATCATAAAAGGTTAAGAATTGAATTTTTAAATTTTTGAGAAAGTACTTAGTAACAGAAAAATAATAAACTAGTAGTTACAACCAAAACCATATGGCCCACAAAACCTAAAATATTTATTACCTGGCACCATTACAGAAAAAGTTTGCTGACTCCTGAACTAAGAATAAACTCTGGAATACAGCCCACCAAAAGAAAAGAAAACCAGTTGCCTGGGCTCACCTCTGGTTTGGATTCTAACTCATCTGATAACATTGATTCAGCTTCCAAATCCTGTAGCTGTTCAGGGGACAGGTTAAAATTTTAATTCGGAGTCAATGACACCTTCCTGTTATGCTCATACTCCTCTAGGAAGTGTTATGCTTTTCCTGTAAGATGCTGGGCTGGGTGGGTAATTAATTTAGCCTAAAAAAGGAAAAAAGAAAGAGAGAGAGAATTCAGAGCAGTAGGAAAATGTAGCTAAAAAAACAAAGCCACTTCTTTACATATCCAAAAATCACAACAAGCAAGCAAATAAAAAATTCAGCCCAAAACACTTGTTTTAAAATAGAACAAGCCCAACAGATATCAAAACCCATAAAAAGTTGTACTTTAATGTAGAATTTCTAACAATCTATTCTAAGAACATAGAGAACAGACTTGTGGTTGCCAAGGGGGAAGGGGGTGGGGGAGAAATGGATTGGGAGTTTGGGATTAGCAGATGCAAACTATTACATATAGAATGGATAAACAAGGTCCTACTGTATAGCACAGGGAACTATATTCAATATCCTGTCATAAAGTACAATGGAAAAGAATACGAAAATGTATACACATACATATATAGGTAATGATATAACTGAATCATTTTGCTGTACAGCAGAAACATAACACTGTAAATCAACTATACTTTAATAAATTTAAAAATAAATAAATAAGAAAAGGTCTTAAGTATGGTAAAAGCTATATGCCCAAAGAATTTCACCTTATCATCTGTGATAATGACTGTAAGCAACATATAAATATAGATATTCAATTAGGTAATGGTTGATTATAGTGACATTGTATGACTTAAAAATACAGTTATGGGGCTTCCCTGGTGGTGCAGTGGTTGAGAGTCTGCCTGCCGATGCAGGGGACATGGGTTCGTGCCCCGATCTGGGAAGATCCCACATGCTGTGGAGCAGCTAGGCCCGAGAGCCATGGCCGCTGAGCCTGCGCGTCCGGAGCCTGTGCTCCACGACGGGAGAGGCCACAACAGTGAGAGGCCCGCGTACCACACACACAAAAAATAGTTATGAAAACAATGCAACAGAAATGCTAAGACATTAAATTACAAAAACTATACACTTGTTATTAAAACTAGTTAAGATAAGCACAGGAAAAAGTAAAAGGAAATTCACACAGCCATGATAGTCACTGTACTGGGTGGGTGGTAGGCTGGTGTGCCGTTTTTCTTCTCTTAATTTCCCAATTTTTTATAAAAGGTAATTACACAGTCAAAATTTGAACAGTGTTTCCTCAAAGTAGTATCCTCGGGACACTCATGAAGCTGTTTCCCCCCCCTTACTTTATATTCTTTGGGTTTTTTTTTTTTTGTTTTTTTACGGTACGCAGGCCCCTTCCGCTGCGGAGCACAGGCTCTGGACGCGGAGGCCCAGGGGCCATGGCCCACGGGCCCAGCCGCTCTGCGGCATGTGGGATCCTCCCAGACCGGGGCACGAACCCGTGTCCCCTGCATCAGCAGGCAGACTCTCAACCACTGTGCCACCAGGGAAGCCCCCCCCCCCTTACTTTAAATTCTTACTTTCTTGATGACTATCCTTAGTGTTGTGTTTGGATTCCTTTTTCTTTTTTGTGTGTATTTATCTATTATAGATTTTCGGTTTGCGGTTACCATGAAATTTTGGTATAGTAGTCTATATATACACAGTTGTTTTAAGCTGCTGATCTCTTAATTTCAAATGCATTTTAAATATCCTGCATTTTCACTCTCCTCCTCTCATGATTACTGGTTTTGATATCATATTTTACATCTAATTGTTTTGCGTATCTCTCAACTGCTCTTGTGGATGGAGATGATTTTATTACTTTTGCTTTTTAACCTCCCTACTAGTTTGTGTGTGGATGATTTCCTATCTTGACTGTATGTTTGCCTTTACCAGTGAGCTTTCCCATTTTGTAATTTTCTTGTTTCTAGTTGTGGCCTTTTCTTTTCCACCTAGAGAAGTTTCTTTAGCATTTGTTGTAAAGCTGGTTTGATGGTGCTGAATCCTTTTAGCTTTTGCTTGTCTGTAAAGGTTTTGATTTCTCCATCAAATCTGAATAAGAGCCTTGCAGGGTAGAGGATTCTTGGCTGTAGGTTTTTCCCTTTTGTCACTTAAAATGTACTGTGGCACTCTCTCCTGGCCTGCAGATTCTGCTGAAAAATCAGCTGATAACCTTATGGGAGTTCCCTTGTATGTTATTTGTTGCTTTGCCCTTGTTGTTTTTAGTATTTTCTCTTTATCTTTAATCTTTGTCAATTTGTTTTTGTTTTTGTTTTGTGGTACACGGGCCTCTCACTGTTGTGGCCTCTCCCGTTGTGGAGCACAGGCTCCGGACGCGCAGGCTCAGCGGTCATGGCTCATGGGCCCAGCCGCTCCGCGGCATGCAGGTTCTTCCCAGACCGGGGCACAAACCCGTGTCCCCTGCATTGGCAGGCGGACTCTCAACCACTGCGCCACCAGGGAAGTCCAATCTTTGTCAATTTGGTTACTATGTGTCTCAGCATGTTGTCCCTTGGGTTAATCCTGTATGGGACTCTCTGCACTTCCTGGACTTGGGTAACTGTTTCCTTTCCCACATTAGGGAAGTTTTCAGCTATTATCTCTTCAAATATTTTCTCAGGCCCTTTCTCTCTCTCTTCTCCTTCTGGGACCCCTATAATGCAAATGTTAGTGTGTTTGATGTCCCAGAGGCCTCTTAAAATGTCCTTTCTTTTCATTCTTTTTTCTTCATTCTGTTCCATGGCAGTGCTTTCCACTATTCTTTCTTCCTGCTCACCAATCCGTTCTGCCTCATTTATTCTGCTACTGATTCCTTCCAGTGTATTTTTCATTTTAGTTATTGTATTCTTCAACTGTTTGGTCACTCTTTGTATTTTCTAACTCTTTGTTAAAAACTTCTTGTAACTTCTCACTCTGTGCATCCATTCTTTTCCTGAGTTCTTGGTTCATCTTTATGACCATTACTCTTAACTCTTTCTTGAGTAGATTGCCTATCTCCACTTCACTTAGTTGTTGTTTGGGGGTTTTATCTTGTTCCTTTGTCTAGAACATATTCCTCTGCCATCTCATTTTGTCTGAATTTCTATTTGTATTTTTATGTATGTGGTAGGTTAGTTACATTTCTCAACCTTGGAGAAGTGGCCCTCTGTAGGGGATGTCCAGATGTCCCAGCAGTACATTCCCCTCTCATCACGCAAGGGCCAGGGACCATCTGGTCACAGGGTAGATTCTGACTTGTGTTTGCAGACTCAGTTCCACAGGCTGTGAGACTGTAGTTTTCTTGCTTCTGGTGTCTGCCCCCTGGTGGGTGAGGCTGGGTCTTGGCCCTCTGGTGGGCAAGGCCGAGTAAAGGGGCATGTCTAGAGGTGGCTGTGGGATCAGGAAGTCTTTAGGCAGCCTGTCTGCTGATGGGTGGGGTTGTGTTCTTGCCCTGTTGGCTGTTTGGTCTGAGGCATCCCAGCACTACAGGCTGTTGGGTAGGGCTAGGTCTTGGTGATAATGACCCAAGCAAGATGTCAGCCTCCAGCAAGAGTTCACACTGATGAATACTCCCCAATATCTCTGCCACCAGTGTCAATGTCCTCAAGGGGAGCCAAAGCCACCCCCACCCCCACCCCCGTCCTCCCCAGGAGACCCTCCAAGACCAGCAGGTAGGTCTGGCCCAGGCTCCGATGAAGTCATCACTGCTTTTGCCCTGGGTCCCATTGCGTGCAAGACCTTGTGTGCACCCTCCAAGAGTGGAGCTCCTGTAATTAAGCCCCACTGGCCCTCAAAGCCAAATGCTCTGAGGGCTCCTCCTCCAGACATCAGACCCCGCAGGCTGGGGAACCCGATATGGGGCTCAGAATGCTCACTCCCATGGGAGAACTTCTGCAATATAACTATTCTCCAGTTTGTGGGTTACCCAGCTGGGGAGTATGGGATTTGATTATATCGCAAGTGTACCCCTCCTACCGTCTCATGGTTTCTTCTTTATGTCTTTGGATGTAGATTATCTTTTTGGTAGGTTCCAGTCTTTTTCATCAATGGTTGTTCAGCAGTTAGCTGTGATTTTGCTGTGCTCATGAGAGGAGGTGAGCTCAAGGTCCTTCTACTCTGCCATCTTGTCCTCTCATCCTCTAAATTCTTACTTTCTTAAAGCTTTTCTTTCAGGATTTTGGCAAATAAGTCCACTTTATTTCACACAATTTTTGCTTAAATTGGAAGCACTATTATATACAAAATAAGCATACAGTGTAAAATATACCCAGGATGGGAGTTTTCAATACATACCAAGGTAGAGTGGAAAGTTAGAATAAGAAAGACTTACTCTACAAAAAGGGCATTTAGAAGTACGTGAATAAATGTCTATTCTCCTGCTGGTTAAACCTCTCCCCAATGCTAGCTTCCAGAAATCCTCACTTTCATCATAAAAAAAATGTATAAGATGTAAATGAAAAGGCTCATTTTAAGTTTACCACATAAAGCTGTCATAAATCCCTGACTTTTCCTTTCACATACGTTTTTCTTATTCAAGCACTGTAACTGCTCAATGTAGTTTACCCATCCCTCTTTTCAGAGAGGAAGGAACCGAGGCTTAGTACAGCTACTTGCTCAAGTTATTAAGCTGCAGAGCCAGCATTCCCACCCACAGAGCAGGCTGGCATGAATAGTAATTACATCTCCCTAGGTCTGATCTTGAATCATCAGGATTCAAGAATTAAGAATTCCTTTTCCCCAATTCCAGCTCATTTCAAGAAGCCAAGAAATTACCAAATGTTTGCTTAGGTTAACCTTAGGGTTCCTCCAACTTGAAGATTCCAGGACTGTAAAATCTCTAAGAAACTAGACAACTATTTACTGTCCTTTATATTTGTTAGTTTTCTTAGAAACTGATGGCACTGGCTCCATTTCTGATATCCTTACCTAATGAAAATTTTAAAAAATTTAGTATATGAACATGTGTACCGAACAAGGGAAAAAATCAGATATACTATACTTTAGACATTTTTGCAAATCTGTAATAACAATTTAGAGAAGGGAGCTGCCACCTCTCTTACAGTTTAATAGATACCTCTAGATCACCATTTCTCATGCTCGTGGTTATCTGTGATGTTTCATTTTAGTCATTTCAATGATAATTTTTAAAAAATTAACACATGTATTTTCTGGAACAAA